ATTAACCATTAATTAAGTAACGAGTAAATCCGCCGGCTAAATAAAATAGCAATGAAATGCAAGCTTTCAGATTAGTTTTTTTATAAGAAAGGAAGACAAAGGAGATCCCGGCTAACCTATAGTATGTGATCAGCGCTTCCCATAGAAATCCGCAACACCACAGGAAATTTTGGCGTTGTTGATCCTTATAAGGAAAAGAGTAAACTCTCTAAAGGAAGATAAATTTCTCCTCTCTGCTAGTAGGGTGAATAATTCAGATACAAATATCGATTCATGAAATGGTTTGCAAAATATCTCGTTAGAGTTAGTGAAAGAGTGGCTATAATTAAAAATAACTAACATTTCATAGTGACGGACAGCTAATAAAAATTAATCGCACATAGCAAGGATATCATAATTCTAATATTTGGTTTATTATGCATAAAGCACTCAATTTTTAACAGTATTATATTATAGACTTATATCACTTACAAGTTATTAATATTTCGAACTGACGATACAACCAGATCACTAACGATCATGAAACAATAGGCACTATAATTATAAACATGCACAATTGTCGTGGTAGCTCAGGAAATAAACGCTCTTCATATTCCATAGTAGTACACGCAAACCAAGTTCAATTCCTGCAGTGTGGCAGCGCGACAGATTTTCATGCTTGTCTGTAAAGTCGATTTACTGACGATAGTTGAAGTGACAACGTCATAAGAAAATACTGATGGAATGGTTGCATCTGACACCACATTAACTTTTCACTGCACTTCATACTTGACAAAACATGTAAATGCATTATTGTATAGCAGCTGTCCATGCATCGCTCACTCAAGTAGGACAGAGACAGATGTCGAACGCTGCCGAACGTGGAGGCCGATTGTGCCTCTTTGTCGCTCGTTCCGCTCTCTCGCTTGCACTTCAAGCCTTAAATGGAACGCCTCAGAGCGAGGTAACGCCGTATGAGTCGTGTTTTTTCGTGCGTGCAGCCAGCTTCATCGAATTAGAAGACGTTGTCACGTCAAAACAAGGCTTATGCCCGTTAGTGGAACGTATACATGCTGCTACTTTGCTTTATCATTCGTTAATTAACAACAATAATTAAATGTAGTTGATTGAATAGGGAAGCATATTATATTATAATGGTACTTAATACAAAATATTTTATCATCATCATGATCATCATTACAGCCCTTTACAAGTCCACTGCTGAACATAGGCCTCCCCCAAAGAATGCCACAAAGCACGGTCCTGAGCCACCTGCATCCATCGACTTCCTGCATGTCTAACCAGGTCGTCACTCCATCCAGTGGGGGGACGCCCTACACTTCGTCCGCTGGTACGAGGCCGCCACTTGAGAACCTTTTTTCCCCATCAGTTGTCATTCTTTGAGCTATATGGCCGGCCTATTGCCACTTCAGTTTACTAATCCGTTGGACTATGTCGGTCACTCTGGTTCTAATGCGGATATCCTCATTTCTAAGTATATCACGCAGAGAAACTCCGAGCACCCTCTCCATAACTCACTGAGCGACCTTGAGCTTCCTTATCCTGCCAGCAGTGAAGGACCACGTCTCAGTTCCATAGGTCATCACTGGCAACACGCACTGGTTGTACAGTCTCGTTTTCAAGTTTTGAGGTATACCGGTGCCGTAATTTCCCAAACGCTGCTCAACCGAGTTGAATCCGTCGATTGACCTCTCGGTCGAAGTTGGACTTACCTAGTCGGACTATTTGCCCCAGATAAACATACTCGTCAACAAGTTAGTGCTCCCAACAACCACCGGCATAGGTGTAACATGGACATTAAACATGATCTTTGTTTTATCCATGTTCATCTTAAGTCCTATCCGTTGGGAAAAATATTTACATTTAGAAAAAACTAACTAATCAATGAGTGTGTGATGAGAGGGTGAAAAGAAATTGGTCAATTTTTTTTGTAGTATCGGGCAAAGTCGTTGAAATGTCAGTTTCCGGTACCTTCGTCATAATTTCATTGTATGTGTTACATATTCTGACTAGGGCATAATGTGCGTCTAAATTTGTTTTGTGGCTAGGTATGCTAAATAGTTTGCGAATTGGAATGTGTGAGATATTGTTCACATAAGGTCGTCATTTTGAAAAATGCTAGCTTCTGACTATAGAGGTGTCTATGCGATATGCCTGGAGTCGAAAAAGCAAGGTAGCGCGTAAAAACTCTTTGAATTGTTTCGATTCGCTCAGAAGACGCACTATAGACTGGGTTCCATGCGACACTAGCAAATTTGACGTACTAGTGCATTGAAAAGAACCTTCTTAGCTTGGACATATCGGAAGCCTTGGCGCGGTGGCTAACATGGTGGTCTTCTCACTACACAGTGGTGTGAAACATGCGATATGTATTCTCGCCCACAGTTGTGTAATAATGACTGCGATGAGCAATCCAAGTCGAACTTTCTATTTTCAAGGACACGTCGCGAACGATCACGACACACGATACACAGTTGAATTTTTGGACTTGATGAAGTATATTTTTAGTAAAAATCACTTGATGATCACTATCAAACGAGTGTGAACTACAACCTGACTGACCGCTCGGGCGGCCACACGAAGGAATAATATATGTAGTAGACTTAATGCCTGATAACTCCTGCCAGTTTAGATTTTCAATTGGGCAGCAACTCACGTCGATTTCAAAAATCAACCTTATAAATTTTAAATGCTTTATTAATATTTATTTAAAAACGACTAAGTCTAAATGAGATATCGTCAACGTTATCCGTTAACGATATCTCATGTTAGACCACTTCCAAACACAAACCTCTACTGCGTATGGAAGATACACTGCAACCGTTGCGATTGGCATGTCGAATTGGCAGTCCCTAGTACTAAGCCTACTTACCGTCTTTACTTTTTTAATGTTCATTTAAAGACTACTATTAAATGTATTACCATAATTAATAGGTTTTCGTAAGCTTAAAATGCATGTGTTAGGAGTGGTTCACGGCATTAGTCGAATGGTTGATGCGAACCCATGACTTTTCGAGGTTACAGTCCGCATCCTTACCCATTAGGCTACCGTCGCTTTTTATCTAATTACTTTACTTTAAAAAAAAGATTACCCCTATAAAGGGACCTTTACTTGTACCGTAGAAGCGTTTTACATGCATAAATTGCACATGGACAAATATTTGTTGTTGCAGATTGGACATGAACAAATATTTGTGTTTGCAGACCAAGTTTTATATAACCTAAAACTACCTGTGCCGAGTTTGAAGGCTGAAGAAAATCCCAGGGAAGAGGTAACGTTCTTTTTAAAGCATTAAAGACAAGTAATTTTTGAACGAAAGCTAGGAAATGATAACAGTAAAAAAATTATAATGTAAGCAATCTATGAAATGTACATGAAGATTTATAATGTGTTTTTTTTTACATCAAAGTATTTTCGTCACGTAAAAGACGCACCTACCCTTCGTATTAAATCTTCCTATGTATTTCACCTCACTTTTAATATCATTATTTTTATTGATTGCGTGAGAAACTCAAGGCGTGAATTCCATTAACATTTTTATATTAGATATGTTTTCTGTATTTAAACAAGTACTAGCAAAATTCTGGTAGTACACAATTTGATTGCTGTGGTTTTTACAGTTAGTTGAATTAAAATAGGAATTAAGCGCAAAACATTGTCTGAATGTGTATAATGATTGAGTAATGGATTTGTTGTAAACCATCAATTTATTTGTGTTTTAAATCTCAGTGATACCATTTTGTTTGGAATGCAACGTTATCTAGATGAAAAAGGGATATTAAAAAAGAGTTTTTGGGGAAATATGCCGTAACGCTCTGATGCGTTTCAGCGGATTTCATTACGTCCTCGAAATATTTTGTAATTATCTGATAAACAAGTTACCTCACCCAGTTTCTTTCACCGCTTAACAATCAGCTCTGTGATTTTATTTATTCATTTATTACATAGTCAAAGCCAAAATATTTTTATTCCAAATATAGCCAAAAACACTTGCCATCGCTTCAACAAGTCTCTACCGTGGGAGACCTTGTGAGAAGGAGCGGCAAGAAATTCACAAGTAGCTAATTTTTCTCTCAAGAGTTACAATAAATTATAAAATACATATACACAAATCAAGTAAATCTAAGAAAGCTCAGATATGTAAAAGTTCTTATGTTTTAAATAATGTCTAATTATATATAGAATTATAATCTCTCTTTAACACGAACTTCTTGGCTTGCAAAAGATTTACCACAACAAATAAAGTAACGATACTGATTAAGACTCGCAGTTTGAGTTTACTAAGCCAAAAACAAATCGTTGGCAACACAAATAATTACACTTTTGAACGAGATCATGAAAGGTTGCGCTGCCGTTATATATTTTTGTTGATATAAATAATATGATGTTTTATGGCTTAGCATTAACAGCACCAAACAAAAAAAAAACTTTTAGAAGATACGGTATAAAAATGATATTAAACGTCAATGCAACTTGCATTGACGTTTAATATCGAATATATTACTATTCGAAATATGTACTTAATATCTTATTATATATATAAATAGAATTGTCGTTTAAGATACGAATAATATGTAAAACTGCGTGTTGGGATCGCTTAACGAGAAGTTTCGATATAGGAGTCACAAGCAGACGAAATTACAGCGATCGGTGTGAGGGGTTTGAGGAGAAAATCGCCGCAAGTGAGCGAGCGACGTCTGTGGCGCCAGTGCCAGGCGCCGCGAGACAGACTGCACGCGTCGCCCACCGCGCGCTCCCTCACGCGATCAACTTGCGAACTTGCCGACTCTATGTACTCTGACACATCAAATTATCGTCATTTTTAATTCAAGGTCATACTATCATTATAAGCGATAAACATTAAAACTTAATTTATAAAAGTATATCTATATCGTTATCATTTGACAGTGACTGTGGAAGAACTAACTGGATATTGCAAACTAAGCAAAAGTGATATAAATGTATAGAATGTGAAACGGTGAACATTTTGGCGGCAACAATGTTGCTCGCCGCACTGTTACCTTTACTTTTGGTAGTGATTGGTTTTCCACCTGGGACAATAACGCGCGATGAAACACCTGCCGCTCCCCTGAATATTTCTTTCACAGAATACTCGTTTGCGAACCATTTAAGATTCATAAGAGAGTCCCGATTGCTTATCGGGCCCTTTGATTTAAAGAGAAAATTTAAGAAGAAACTTAACACACAGCAGGATATTCATCAGCCGAGTGCTTCGCCTCTTCGATCCGGTGGTTTTTCTTTAAATTTAAGTGAAAGACCTACAATTTCCTCAAACAATTTATCTCAAACAAACAGAGCTAACATAATAACCACAACAGTAACTAACGCGATATCTGCCACATCAGTAGGATCTACTACAATAGAAAATTTACAGAGTGAGGGAACGACGGAAACCTCTAAAGCAACAAGAAAGTCTAAAGCAACAAAAATGTCACGCAAAACAAAAACTAAGATACCATCAGGAGCAACTGAAGACGAGGCAGCATGGCCGGGGAAGCGAGCGTCGGTCGTGGAGGGCGACGTGCTGCTGGGTGGTCTGATGATGGTGATGTGAATCAATACTCGTTTAATAAAATTTTATTAACGTAAACATTAAATATCGTATTACAAATTTTTAACTTAACTAGTATTTAATGCATACAAAATTTTTGCAAGATTCGAACCTAAGATCTATGTAACTGCAAAAAATAGGTGCGGAAAGAAAAAACTGTGTCAGACCCTCCGAAGAAGGCGGAGTTATAGGCGAAATAAGAATTTAAATTTTTTGGTTTTTGGCCATTTTGACCCCCTAGTAGTGTAATGAGAACTTTTTGCCCCCATTCTATCTGACCCCCATGAAATACTCTACATGATAGGCTATTCAAACTGACTATTCCTAAAGTTCGAACCATCCCCAACTCACTTCTAAAGTATGTCCTTCCTATTAACTTTTAGTTCGTAAATACTTAAAATAAATATAACTTAAACAATATCACTTTATTAGAAAGAATTTGAAAAAAAAATCCTTTATTCTCCGTATTCTTTTTTTATTACAAAGTTAAATTAATATTTTACGATTTTTTTTTTATTTTTTTTTTTTATTACAAAGTTAAATTAATATTTTACGATTTATGAAATAAGTTTTTATAACATAAATAAAGAGCAATCTCTTATATGAAATCGATATATTTATAATTTTTTCTTCCTGAAATTTAAATATTGTAAATGATAAATGTTCTTTTGATAATCTCCTTACTATAAATTTTCCTGTATATTTCGAAGGCGTATTACATACCTACAATTGTAGGTAATTCCAAATAAGTAGTCTGTATGGGATTCAAACCCGCGGCCCGAAAAACTTCGGCCAAATGCTCAGCCGTTCCACAGTGTTCTCGCTATTGTGTGCAAAAAAAAATAATATGAATTCCTATAGCAAAAAGAAAATTGATTATATTAACAGCCTGAATAGATCGGCTCGACCGAGGAAGAATAATGCTCGCACAGAATACCAATGTGGTATAGCGGCTAAATGTCGCGACGAGAGATGGAGACCCTTTTTGTTGGTCACACTACTGTGAGTGTAAAGAACCGGAAACGAGGCAATCCTTGGGAGTGACAACGAACTTGAATTTAGATTCTTAATCGCGGATAGATGTAAATGTCTATTAACCACAGCATCCACTTACCATTAGGTGAGCTCTGTGCTCATTTCTTGCAATTATTTTATCTGATTAGTTTTATTTAGATTTTATATGTTATATTAAAAATAAGTAATAAGAGAAGTATATTACAAGACACGCTGCTTATATTCATACATCCATCGACTTCTTGCGTGTCTTACCACGTATTTACTACACATAGTGGGGGCTCGCCCTACACTACGCCGATCGATACGAGGCTGCCACTCGAGAATCTTTTTTCCACATCGGTGGCCGGCCCATTGCCACTTCAGCTTACTAATCCGTTGGGCTATGCCGGTTACTCTGGTTCTACTGCAGATATCCTCATTTCTAAGTTTATCTCGCAGAGAAACCCCGAGCATATGCCTCTTCTTAGCTCGCTGAGTGATCTTGAGCTTCCTCATACGGCCAGCAGTGAAGGACCACGTCTCAGATCCATAAGTCATCACTGGCAACACGCACTGGTTGTACACTCTCGTCTTCAAGTTTTGAGATATACCTGACGAGAAGATGTGTCGTAATTTCTCAAACGCTACCCTACCGAGTTAAATCCGTCGATTAACCTCTTGATCAAAGTTGGAATTACCTAGCCGGACTATTTGTCCCAGGTAAACATATTCGTCAACAACTTTGAGCTTAGTGTTCCCAACTACTACCGGCATAGGTGTTACATGGGCGTTATACGTGATCTTTGTTTTGTCCATGTTCATCTTAAGACCTATCCATTGGGAGGCACTATTGAGGTCATTGAGCTTAGATCCTCCAGCGATTCTACCAAAAGGACTAAGTATATCGTCGGCAAACGGCAAATCAAAGATGGGTGATGTACTCGCCATTGATGTTAATACCGTATCCTTTCCAGTCCAGTAGCTTGAAAACGTCTTCCAATGCAGTGGTGAAGAGTTTCGGGGATATAACGTCACCCTGTCTTATACCTCTCTGTAGTTGGAGAGGTTTCGTACTCTGGATCTATATCGGATAGCTATCGTAGCCCTACTTTATAAACACTTGTTTATACGTGGTAGAGCCATTCTGCAGCTATATTAATACTCGTAGTATAGTTGTAGCATGAATGCGTTTGCTCGACCGGGGAAGGACCACGCTCTCACAGAATACCAGTGTAAAATGACAGCTTGACGACACTGCTGTGTTTTGTATGGTGAGTATAGAGAACCGGAGACCAATTTTACTGGAAAATAGGCATTCCATCTTAGTCCTCACGGGTGCCGACACATCTGCATTTTGAATCTTTATTGAGGATAAATGTAGATGTCTATGGGTCACAGCAACCACTTTCCATCAGGTGGACTATGTGCTCGTTTGTCATCCTATCTTATAAAAAAAAAACACTTGAGCACTTCAATATACAGCACCGCCCAAATTTCGACGGAAAAGGCTATTTCATAGCTCACATACGTCATATATAGTGGTTAATTGTTTTCCTCGGACTTCTGTTTAATTTGCCGAAGGGTAGGTATGTGTGTGGTCTATGGTACTAAAACCTTTTCGGAAGCCGCCTTGTTTGGGAGGCTGGAAGTCGTCAAGTCTGTGTACAAGACGATTCATAATGACTCTCGAAATCGGTATGTAGTTCTTCAAGAGAGTACTGACGCCTTCCTTGAAGAACGAGACCACGGCACTTCTGCTCCACGCCTCCGGAGTAGTGCCACCATGGAGAACGGAATTAAAGTACCAGTTTTCCACCCGTTTTCAGAAGCTCTGCTTTAATTCCATCCTCGTCCGGGGACCTGCTGATTTTAAGGTGCTTGGGACTGGGCAGGCTGACGTCCAGAATATCATCGGAATTGTGTCGGATAAGACTTGCTCTCTGATTGTTACTCACACTTGCGTATAGCTCCGAAGATGACGTGTACAGTTGCCCATAGAAACTCTCAATTCCACTCAAAATCTCAGGTGTTCCGTAAACGATGCTGCCACATTCGGTCTTCAGGTTCGAAAGTTGGCTCTTTCTCGCAGACAGATCTCTCGCAAAGACTTTGGAACCCTAGTTCCGCTCAATCGCTTCTTCAATACGAGCTGTATTAAAGTTGCGTAAGTCCTGCCGCATTTATTTCGATCTGCTGAAAACTGCAGCTTCATCTCCCATATAATAGCCATGAGATTAAGAGTGTGATCGGAGTGTTTTTGTGTTCTTGTGCTGCGGGTCTTGCAGGCCTCCAGCGCAACAACTTATTGCTATGCTGTGCCACGGAGCCGTCAATGAATTACAATGAATTACCATACCTAATTAAACAATATAACTCTTCCAAATTTAAAACGATATTTCGACAATTATTTTTTCTGTGGCAGCAACGCGCCGGGTACCAGCTAGTCTAATATATTAAATTATTTATGTTCTCATTTTTGTATTTTTAAGGTTATCTTCTGTTTTATTTTTCTCGATTTTAAGGTTAATTATATTCTGTTTTAGATAATAACAAACTAACAATGTTATTTTCCGATGAAAAGTAAACGAATTGCAAAGAACGCAGAAATTAATAATATAAAAGTTAAGTAACCATAGCCTATGGGTTGTATATGGTAATTTATTTTATTACTAGCTATTCTGAATTTATAACTGGATTTATTACGTTTGGAATATAATCATTTTTCTAAAATAAAAGTATCCTAAGTTACTTGTTATAACATCAGCTATTTGACAGTGAAAATCCTGTTAAAATCGATCCAGCCGTTTCGGAAATTAGCCGGTACAAGCAGACAAACAGACAGACAGACAAGTTAAAAGCTGTTATTTTGACATTATAAACAGGCACTTCAATTTTATTTATTTGTATAAAATAGACAATGTATTATTTATTTTTAAAAAAATATTGTAACCCGCGCACTAGGATTTTCTTTGTACCGTGGAGGCATTTTATGTTCATATTTTATAAACAAGGACAAACATCCAGACCCGGAATAATTTATTTTTAGTACACATAAACCTCAGAGTACCTTATACATCTGATACAAATACTCGTACAGCATGGAATTAGTACGCGCGGTAACACAAGGTATTGATAATAATATATAACACAAGGTATAACAGATCACGAAATAAATCACAATATGATATAGATAGAGCATCAAGTTTAATTTGAAAACATTGTTGCAAATTAAGAATGCACTTAGAGTTACCACGTGGAAGAAGAGTTATAGAATCCCTCATCACTTCTTATCTCATAGGTTTGTAAGAACCTTACAAGACATGCCTTAACTATGATCCAGAAATAAAATACTGGATACCGACGACGAGGAACAGCATCTAAGGTGCGAGATCTCTGTGTATATGACTGACAATCCACGGTAAATGGAGTTTACGGCACTACCTTACTAGAGTGAGAGAAATCCATTAATCAGCAATATATTCACAAGGCTGTGGTTAAAGAAAATTAATTCAGAGCTAAGTTGTTGTAACTTTTCTTTCCTTATTTAATTAGGAATAAATATCCCTTCTATATTTGTTCATACATTACATAGAAGGGTAGGTCCGGTTTACTACCCGGACCTCGTGGACGGTAAGGAGAGCTTTGGCCGGCTGCAGGAGTTTACGCATGGTTGGCATACGCGGAGAATAGCGATGAAAAAGCAAGGAAGAGATCTGCCCGGAACCGAAGGCATTGTGTGTTCGTCCAGCCCAGAAAGGGAGAGTGACAATTCGGGACAAGAAATGGATTAAATAACTTGTAGAGAGTCAAGAAAGTGCACGCGGGAAAGAGCCCTGAGCAAGTACCGCGTGCATCTCTCGAAATTCGGCCCGTATAACCGTAAGGTTGGTGGGGCCATGGGAGGTGGATGGTTGTTCATACAATAAGTTATATTTATTTATTTATTTCCACTATACAATTATCTTTACAGATTTATCACCTAATAAATAAATAAATAA